CCCCAAAACCCCAAAACCCCAAAACCCCATGGTTCCAAAATTTGGTTTATTTTGATAAATTAACACAGCATATAAATGTTTAAATTATAGATAAAATATTGGTTTAAAACTAAAATATTATAATTATTTTAATATTCCTTACAGTTTTATTTACTCTACAAAATCAAAAGACCTAATGACTCGAGATTACAAAGGAAAAGTATAAAGAGCAAGATTCAACGGTGGATCTTTCAGAGCTAGAGAGGATTCTAAGAGAAATGATTACTATAGAAAAGGTGGATATAGAGGAAACTAACCTAAAAAAACTCTAAATCTGAGTAAAAATTCCACTGGCAATTTTAGAGGCAAAACTCTTGGTAAATATAGACAGAGAACTCATAAATATAATCAGAGGTACAAGTAATTTTCCATTTCTCTTCATCATTTATGATACTAAACGAGCTAAATCAAGCCAACGTTGTGGTAAACATGCAATTTAATGAAATCTGATGATATTTAAAGCATACCTATTAAAAATAAAAATTGACTTGAAACTAATTAACTGATTATAGAAGCGATAGAACTTTTGGTGGAGAGAGAAGAATTCACTCTGATAATAACTTTAAAAGACCTTTTAGAAAATCTAAGGCAATACAGAAGAGAAATAAGCAAAGCTATGGCTCCAGAGCTTTGAATAGAAATAGGATAAGTTCTGGTAAGACAAATTAGTTCAGCAAAAAAAGCTAACTTAAAAAGGGTAAGACCTTGTCTTTCAAAAAGAAGGGCAGAGTAGGAAAGAAAATATTAGGAGTTAGAAAAGATAAGCATATGACAAATTCATAGCTCGACAAAGATCTTGAAAAATACTGGATTAAAAATAATGACAAAGATAATGGTAAAAAATAAATATTTGACTTTTTTATAGTCATCAAACACTTGGATAATGATTTGGAGGAATATATGAAAAATTAAAAGGCAGTCATAGCCAATTGAGTCTAACTTATGATTTATCAGCGATAATAGAGCCCAGATATTGCCTCGAATATGCAATTTTTTAGCTAATTTAATAATAGAACTTTTACAACTAACCACTCTTAATTTAATAAAGAATCAAATTCAAAACTCAATACATTGCGGGGTTTTGGGGTTTTGGGGAGATCGGAAGAGCGTCGTGTAGG